CACAACTTTTTCCTTCATTTATATACATGTGTGGAATTGACTAGATATTTGAATAAAAATCAATATGAGATAATGTACATTCAGAAATAATAATTTGAGTGTTATTGATCAAATACAATCAGATGGGAAATAAGACGAGTGTTTTTATAGTCAAAAAAGTAACTTGTTAGAATGTTGTGATGTGCTTGAAATGAAATAGAATTTCAAGATTATTTATTATCCTTTTCTGATTTGACTGGTGGTAATAATATCTTCCATATCTCTGGTATATGCATTGAGTCATTTCTGTTGCATGTGTTGGGTGTAGACTCAATGAACAAGGATTCAGTAATCAATCAATCTCTCTCCACCTACATAGATTACTTCTTAGAACCTTAACCCTCTCCTACCCTATTTTGTGGTTGTGTGTTAATGCATACAGTGCAATGGCTGAGCTTTTTTCTAAATTACTTATCCTTGTGGGGTCAACCATTCTTACATTAGTCAAGTTCTTATGTTACGCCAATCTGATTACCCCCGACCTACTAGTTTGACGTATATAGTTGACCTCACAGTAATTGAAGAGTATTTTGTAAATTGTATTATTGTTTAATTGGATCCAACGGGTCTTTCAGCCTACAGAGCTTGTCCTACCTGAGTGAGTTTGTATGTTCGAATACCACTCTAATTCCTGCGTTTTTGAGAATTCTACGTAGGGCCTCAGATTTTCTCTCCTTATATGGTATACCAGTAGATGCCTTATATTCTCTCTTATTTATGTTATCACTACTAGTTTCACAATTATTTTTATTTTGCTTTTGGCCTTTTTCGATCTTCCTAATGAGTTTTGTAGGATAGTTATTTAGCACCCCGCTGTTATTCTTCTACCTATTTCATTTCATCATTTAGGTCTTTTTTGTGCTACTTAGTCCTACTTCTCATTTTGTTAGATACTTAACTAGGCTGCCTTTACAGATCGATAACGGATGAGATGAATTAAAGTCTAAATATCCATTAGAATGCGTTGGTTTTTTATAAACACGAATGTGCAGCTTACCTTCTTCTATTCGTTTTATTTCGAAATCTAACATAGCTAATTTGCCTTGTTCATTTTCCGATTCAAATGTGAATTCTATTGCCTCTACTAGTGAGTCTATATATGTCAAAAAGCTAGAGATATTTTCTGTTTTTAACACTGTGAAAGTGTCATCTACATATCTCCACCATATTTTTGGAGTAGGATTAAATGTACTAAGAGCAATATTTTCCCAGCTCTCCATAAATATATCCGCTACAATAGGCGATATTGGAGATCCATCCCATTGCTACACCTTCTGTTTGTCTTTATATTTTGCCTTGGAATGTAAAGATAGTAGATGTGAGTGAGGCATAACTGAATTCCTAAAATAATTTCTTCAATAGGCAGCTTTGTCCTATGTGTGAGTTCAGGATCTGGAGTTATTTCTTTTTTAACTGCTTTTAAGGCTGCCATATCGATTGGTATATTAGTAAATAGACTAGTTATATCAAAAGTAACCATTGTTTCATCATTCTCTAATTGAATGTCACTTGGTTTATTTTTCATCTCATATAAATTAGTTAGTTAGTCTAGAGTTTGAACGATTTCTAATAAAGGGCATAATATTAGAGCTAAGTATGATATGAATACGCTTAGTTTTCAAATGATGCTATGTTGATTTCTAACATAAACTGTATATTTACCGCAAACTACCAATTCGTTGAATCAGCTAACCAGAATTTCAGTGACTGGATACAGTGTGTATATCCCTTAGATGTGGCTAGCAAGCAATCCTGTTTGATGTCGGGGTGTTTTCCTACTACTCAAATCAGTCAGTCAGTAATATATAACATACCATGCCGTTTCCAGCGTTTCGCTGATTAACTGTGAACGCACAAGTCACCTTTAAAACTATAAGAACTTCTCTGTAAATTTCTCTAGACATGCAGCATAAAAAAGACAACCTCTCCTTCCACCCATCCCCAAAAGGATTCCTGTTTAATCTCCAAGATTAATGCTTCTCTTTATGATTATGCGATACACTGATGATTTGTTGTCTTATGATGTGATTTTGTTTGAGCGATTCTAGGTCACTCCGACCTTGAACCGTGTCTGTATGTGATTCTTCTGAACACAGCTTTCATCTCATCTTGCTGGAAACATTCTACTTGATTCTAAGATGCATCTTACGGTTGTTTTCTGGATGAATATTTTCGTTCTACAGAATTTGTTTTGTGTTGAGAAATTTACAATGACTGTATAGCTGCTGCCTAACGGTTCTTTTGAGGTTAGTTTTGAGTTTTCAAGATTATTCATGTTGACATGAGCCACTCAAGAACCAGCCTAAGCCAGGTGGGAAGGTGTAGACTTCCTGGTTGGGGTCCTCGGGACGGTAGAAACCAATGGTTGGAAACAAATGGTGACGTGGCTCAAAATCGTTCTCAATGGCTGGCGCAGATACATCCACTCCTTGTGACTAATGATTTCCAATGAAACTGTTTTGTTCTTCATTATTACTATTCCTTTGTCTCACACCTCTGTTTATAGTCTCTAATGTGCATTTCTCCTACTTTCTTCTCTTGCTTTGTGTGCTACATGGAGGGAGTGTGGTGACTTGAACTACCGCACATATGTGCAAAGTTCTATGTCGCCCATGAATCTTCATCACTTCTGTTTTCTCTATGTTCACCTGAAGTCCTATCCTCTCTGGATGCTTCTTCTGCCAACTTGTTGCTTTTCGCTTGCATACCTTCCAGTTTGTGGGAAATCAGACAAATATCATCGGCGAAGTCCGGATCCTCCAAGTTTCTTTTGTGAGTCCATTTTATGTTTGTTTCTTCATTGCCCGCTGAAAAGAACACTTTGAGGAACAATTTAACTTGCCTACAGCCACACTGAGCCTCCCCGCCATCCAGCACACACCCGAATGGGACATAGACACTGGCCCGCCGTCTGTAAGTGAGGTCACCAAAGCTATCTGTAATTTGAAACGAGGCAAAGCGGCAAGACCCGACGGAATTATTCCGGAGTGGTTTAAATATGGGGGAGACATACTAGCATATAGTTTAACTAAAGTACTAGGTAACGTCTGGGAATCAGAGACGGTTCCATCAGACTGGGGTAAGTCACTTATTACACCAGTATTCAAGATGGGAGACAAGTCCTCATGTGATAATCATAGAGGAATCAGCCTAACGAACATGGTCTCTAAAATCCTTGGCTCAGTAATCATGAACAGACTAAGCCGAACTCGGGAGGAACAAACGAGGGAAAACCAAGCGGGCTTTAGGCCAGGTAGAGGGTGCATAGATCATATCTTCACTCTCCGACAGATCCTAGAACACAGACACACTTTTAGGCATCCAACAATTGCCATATTTCTTGACTTGAAGGCGGCTTTCGACTCCGTTGATCGAGAGGTACAATGGCAATGTTTGACTATGAAGAAAGTGCCAAGAAAGTATATTACACTAATCAAGGCACTCTACTCAAACTCACGTAGCTGTGTAAGGGCTTATGGGGAATTGTCATCTGAATTGATAACAACCAGTGGTGTCCGTCAAAGATGTCCACTTTCCCCTTTTCGGTTTAACTTCATCATAGATATGCTAATGGAAGTATCCTTAACTGAACTTAACGACTTAGGAATTGACTTGTTACCAGGGAATAGTCTTATAGACTTAGAATACGCAGACGACATAGTCCTGTTAGGGGAGGACGCTGACAAAATGCAGAGTCTTCTGAACACCTTGAGCAGCAATCTTCGTATGTTTGGTATGCGATTCGCCCCTGTAAAATGTAAGATGCTGCTACAGGACTGAACTACGTCAACTCCTATCTTAGTGATAGGGAGTGAAGTGATAGAAGATGTTGACCACTTCACCTATTTGGGAAGTTGTATCAGCACCAACGGATTGATTGGTGACGAAGTCACAGCACGGATTCAGAAAGCTCGGGCTGCTTTCGCTAACTTACACCGTCTCTGGCGTAGGCGTGACAACCGGCTATCAACCAAGGGACGTGTATACTGCTCAGCAGTTCGCTCCGTCCTTCTCTATGGCTCTGAAACATGTCTAATATGAGTTAAAGACATGAAAACGTTGACTGTTTTTGACCACAGATGTATACGATCTCTTTCTCACGTTAGGTGGTATAATAAGGTAAGTAATGTTGACGTTAGGCGTAGAGTGTTGTCAAAGAGGGAAAATCAATCGAAGAGGCTATAAAGTTACATAGATTGAGATGGCTAGGTCACGTGCTGCGAAAGCCTAGCCATCGCCTCCCCGGAGGGACGGGCATTACTAGCTGATATAGGTGCAGGTTGGAAAAGAGTAAATGGTGGCCAAACAAAAACATGGCCTCATCAATCCATGGAATCCTTGACAGTTAAACTGAGTCAGGTAGGGAGATGCAGACTTCCGGGTTTTGGCCCTCGCGACTCTAAGAATCAATGGCTGGAGACAATAGGTGACATGGCTCAAAATCGTTGTCAATGGCTTACGCAGATGTATTCAGTCTCTTTAACCTTTCATATTCCTTTCTACCATTACTCATTCTGTTTCACTCTTATACTTATCTAAATTCTATTGATTCTCTTCTCTCATTTTCCTGTCTACCTTTGTGTGCTATTTGGAACGTGGCAACTCGAACTGCTGCACTTTGGTGCCAAGTTCTATGTTGAATCCAGCAGCAGCAGCAGCCCGCTGTTTGTCGCATTATCCAATCTACTGCAATCAGGAAAATCATTGGTGAGAGTAGGCAGCCAACTTGTCTTACTCCTGTAAAATTTATTTCAATAAAGTCTCACAGTGTGTACTGTATAACACTGCGAGACTTTATTGAAATAAATTTTACTCATAATGGAACATTGCACCAAAGTGCACCAAAGCTTATTGACAAAACAGTCAACTTTCACATCCCCCCAAAAAACCCCAATACACTTTCATGTCACACTTTTAAAAACGCCTCTTGTTTTCTTTTCTTTTTTTCTACAATTCTCCAGGCTCGTGTAGAACTAGTGCTTATCTTCGTGAAAGTTGGTCAAGTCGACACTGTGAATGAAAGATATCAAGCTGATATTTTCCTTCAGGCAAGATGGCGTGAACCATTACTCGATGCTATATGGAATAAATCAAGTCATAAGTCAAAAAGCGGTTGGCAGTCAAATCAAACTGTAGAGAATCCAATGACGGAGTTAACACCGAAACGACATTTGAACACGGTAAGCATTTACGCTGACTGTTTGTTTTTGTTTCTTTTTCCGTTTAACTCCACCGTTGGTTCATTATATTCGCTTTATAAAACTTCCCACTTGTTTGGTTATATATTTTTTTGTTATCACCATGGCAGTGCAAAATTCACCACTGTCTCTTTCTGCATACATAGATTTGGTTTAAGTCGTAGCAAGCTAGGTTTCTTTTGCTTGTTGATTATTTTGAACGACTTCAGGTTGTCTACAATATGACCAGTGTCTAATAGATGACGCGCAATCGCACTGTTTAATGCTTGCGGACCTTTCAGTCTCAGGTTCTTTGGTATGTGTTCAGAAATGCGGACAATAACCCTTCTCTCTGTTCTTCCAATGTATGTGCTTGGCACGTACATGTAAATTGGTAGACACAGTTGGAGGTAACATGAGGTGGGTATTTGTCCACTTTTGATTGTCTCAAACAACTGGTTTTTTGATAAACACATACAAGCTTGGCGGCTGGATATGTTCTTTTCAGGGCAGTGTTCAGTCTGCATCTTATTCTACTAGCAGTATCATCACCTTTGAATGCAAGCTGCAGAAAGATAGGCTTTTTCTCTATTGTGCTGCTTTTCACTTTTTCAACATGACGTCTCCCATACTTGTCGATGAACTTTTGTGGGTAACCACTGTCGTGTAGGAATTTCTCCACAATGGATAGCTCTTCCTCAATCCTTTCTTTTGGACACAGCTTCCTTACACGAACAAATTATGTTCTCACCAATCATTTTTTGTAACTTATAGGGCAGAAGCTTTTGAAGTTAAAATAAACCGACCTCCACGTCTCTTTTCTGTGCATATATCTTATAATTTTGCCGTCTTTATCTCGTTGGATACCCAGGTCAAGAAAATGGAACTTCTCTTTTTCATACTCCATTGTAAACTTAATATTAGGATGGGCGCTGTTCAAGACTTTTAATAATTAAGATGCATCATTAAAAGAATTACAAATAACAAAAGTGGTTATATTTGACACAGAACAAATTTTTAGCAATCAGGAATCCTTAGATGCCTCTTTCAATCGGGCAGACCATTAAAATGGAGTTAAGCCAATAAAGAAGAATGTTTCAGTGAATTCTAACTAAGTGTTTCAGAGACTCGTCAAGTGAGCCATCAAAAGCATTCTCAAGCATGGACATCGAACTGTTATCAACAGCTGCCTTCTCTCCAAGCTGAAGTTTAGATAACTAGAAGGGATTATCAGCCACCAAAGGACTCTGTCACACAATGAACCAACCAAAAGCCTACAGCAAATACCAAATATTCGTTCTCATGGGTCTGAGTTCAGTTCATGAATAGCCAAATCATCTGCTGATTTAATAACACGGGAAACGAAGAAAGCCCTGTAGGTTCGTATGAGTTCATCGAAAAGCCTTGAAAACGCATTTCGAATGAGCTGAATGACGAAAAAATTAAGTACAGTGTACCTGCTCCCCACCCCACACTCCGTTGTATTCATGTTTTAACAATTTTCTGGTAAGAAAGCGTGGGTCTTGTCCCAAATGAGCATATGGACTGGCTAATCTGCTTAACTGTGCAACGCCTCTTCAAATACCAGAGAGGAGGATCGGATTATTGACTAAAAGACGTATTGTGTTGCCTCATAATCCGACTAGTTTCAGTAACATCTCAAAAGAACCTTATGTTAAATGTCTCTTCCACCGTAGTTCACAAAGCACACTTTGAAATGTACATCTTCGACTGTAGATACGATTCACTGGATTAAATAAATTGTCGTCTATTGGCTTTGTGAATTAATGAAATAATACCTTCCATGTCACTTCCAAATCACTGTGCTTCAACTCCACATTTTATTCTGTCAGTAATGGACGAAAAAGGCGTCTTGCAAACAATATTCTGCACTCTGAGAAAGGTTAATTATCCAGTCTCCTATACTGTAGAGTCATTTATGTTCATACACTGAAATCACTGTCACTGATTGGTCAGCTTAGATCGCCTAATCACCATATGAATGTTGATGAGATCAATCTATGCATTTCAATAAGATTTTCTTTTATCAGAAGACAGCAGAACAAAACAGAACAAATGAAAGCATAATAAGAGGTAGAAATGTTTCATACCACACTGGATAAAAATGTCCAGTTTATCAGTGGAGATTTAATCCATCTGAAAAGTATTTTTCAGGATGCTGAATACTAATACATAACAAACAACCCAATCTCCACCCTTGTAGGAATACAAAATCAATTTGATATGTACATGATAACAGGATGAATGATTTTGGAAATATTACTGACAAATGTTATAAGTGCAAAAACATTTGTTGACACCATTATTGAAGATTTAAACGTGAAATTTATTTTCTGATTCATTAGCATGGACAATAAACAGGTTTCAATAGTTCATGTAACGTTTGTTTAAATTCAACCAAATTTTTATGCGGCAAATTTAAACTGTATGCTTTCGATAAATAACAGGTGTAGGGAAAAGGTACGAAAACTAATGAACTCCTATTTCTTCGATGTTCCCTTCATGTTCACATTGTAGACATGAAATACATCACATACATATGGATAACTATGGATGGTTAAATGTCAGGTTAATGTCACTATCAATATGAACGCATTGAATATATATATATTTATAAACGTTTGCGCTGAAGATGTTGTCCAGAAAGGCAACGAAAGTTTCACAGTTAAACCACCTAATTCAGAGAAGGCAATCAGTCACAATCAAAGTCACTACAGAGGACAGATATCCAAGAAGAATTCAAAAAATTAGTTCTCCAGGCATTGTCTAGAAAGGTAATGACAGCTTCATAAACAAACTGTTCAGATGAGGGGGCACAATGATACTATAAGCCTTGTCAGTGATTCTCCTTACCACAACTGATACTGTTACCAGCGAAGAGGATTCAGTAAAGTTTTATGAAAAGCCCATGAAGATAAGATGAACCCACACTGATAAATGACACAGCAATCGGAAAAAAACTCTTCGTGTAACATAATGAAAAATCAATTTAACTGGACTCAACTCTTTGGCTCCAAGACAGCTAATCAGCTTTCCATTCCTCCTCATGTGAACGTCTTAATGTCATTCAGATGATCACCGGTCTCCTTAACCCACGTTCAATACACTCTCATCCTCTTCTTCATATTTGTTGGTTAACATTTTGTTGATATAAGAATAAAACTTGTGTACTGTGGTAGAGTGTAATTCCATTATGGGTAAATTTTGTTTTGATAAAGTCTCACAGTGTTATGCAGTAATGTTTACTGATGACGTTTCGAGCACAATTTATTACTGCTCATAATCATATCAAGGTAATCACACGACTTCCTAAATTCATTTATATAGTTCCGTTGTTTTCCACTTGACTTTCACTTGATTCGATTGGTAGTAACAAACAGAACATATCTCTAGCTTCTTGACACACATAAACTCACTAGTGAAGGAAATAAAATTCACATTTGAAGCCGAAAATGAACAAGGAGAATTAGCCAAGATGTTAGATTGCAAAATAAAACGAATAGAAGAAGGTAAACTACACACTAGTGTTTATGAAAAACCAACGCATTCTAATAGATATTTAAACTTTAATTCATCTCATCCGTTAACTGTTAAGGCAGGCTTAGTTAAGTGTTTAACAAACTGAGCAATGGCACTAAGTAGCACAAAAAGAGACCTAAACGATGAAATAAAACAGATAGAAGAGGCGTTGGTGTTAAATAACTAACCTATAAAATTCATTAGGAAGATTGAAAAAAGGCCAAAATAAAAATAATTGTGAAACTAGTAATAATAACATGAATAAGAGAGAATATAAGTTATCTACAGTTTTACTGATTAAAGAGGGGACATCTGAGACCACACGTGGAATTCTAAATAAAGCAGGAATTAGGGTGGCATTTAAACCTACAAACTCACTCAGGTAGGACAAGCTCTGTAGGTTAAAGGACCCAGTTGACCCAATTAGACAACATAATATAATTTACAAAATACCCTGCAATGACTGTGAGGTCAACTACATAGGTCAAACTAGTAGGTCGGGAACATAAGAATTCAGCTAAGGTAAGAATGGTTGACCCCACGAAGATAAGTAATTTAGAAAAAAGCTCAGCAATTGCACTGTATGCATTAACACACAATCATTTAATATGGTGGGAGAGGGTTAAAATTCTAATAAGTGATATAGGTAGGTGGAGAGAGAGGTTGATTACTGAATCTTTGTTCATCGAATCTACACCCAACACATGCAATAGAAATGATTCATCACTCATACCCGAAATATGGAAAATACTACTACCAATAAAATCAAGTGAAAATCAAGTGGAAAACAACGGAACTATATAAATGAATTTAGGAAGTCGTGTGATTACCTTGATATGATTATGAGCAATAAATTGTGCTCGAAACGTCATCAGCAAACAATACTGTATAACACTGTGAGACTTTATCAAAACAAAATTTACCCATAATGGAATAACATTTTGTTGACTTATCCTCTGAAATTGTTGATTCACCTTCCTGGATGACTATCTGGTCTTCAGTATTCTTACTTATTGATAGGAAGCTAGACACTGTTTACAATGAGAAGTCATCCACTGCTTCACTTACTCGATCTGGTGTTTCTCGCTCAGGGTGTTGTTCTTTCGCCTTTCCTCTTTTTTTATTTTTTCTTACACGACATCCCCCATTCTGATGAAACCAATTTTGGTGAGAATTCCCCATTATTTCTCAGTCAGATTGTTCCAAAACGAATGACTTTTTATCACAAAAATTAATCACTGGTCCCTCTCCAATGGTTATAAGCTGACTACCTCCAAATGTCAGGTGGTTAATTTCAATTTCAAAAGCAAGTGCGGCTTACATGAACTGGTTAGTTCACATGGTTCCACTGTCAAAGAGGGCACAGAAGTTACAACTAAGTTAAATATATTAAATACCTCAGATCATGTCTTTCCTCTGATCTTTCCTGGTCTTCACACATCAAGCTATTTTCTAGAAAGATA